AAAAGCTAATGATGATTCATGCTATTAGCTTCAGCGGTCCCAGTCCCCAGGAACTCAGGTTTGACCTTTTATTAGCACTTTTCTCTCAAGCAGGTGGGACCATTCTCTAGTTGTACTTCCTAATTACCTTAAAATTCCTGAAGAATTAGTTAAAATCCTTTCTGGGTGTGGGGCTTGGATGCAAAGGAAAATATTCAGTGTAAGTATGAAATGCATCTGATTATATAATTTGACCAGCATCCTGTCAGACCCTGGAATATAAAATTACATATTAAGATTTCATTAATATAAACTTAAAATAGTCATGAGAAGCATGTCAATGTTACCAACTTAACTTTTAATACATACTCTTCCTTGTAAAGAAAAAGAAAAAGAAAAAAAAAAAAACTATGCACACTCATACATTCATTTTTCATGATGAAATATTTATGGAGTTCCAAGCACTATTCTAGGCACTTGAGGAACATTCTGTTGAGGTAATATAGAAATCATTAATTTTTAAAATTAACATTTAGTCTTCTTTGTTTTAATTAAACCATGGAGATCTGCTGTACAAATAACTTAAAAAATCAAATTTTTCTCTTTTTCCTCTTCCCATCTCCGACATCTCTTCCTTATCTGTGCCTCACACATGTGAACACAGACATACACAAACACACCTGCCTCTTTTTTATTCTAGAATAGGTCATTGCAATGTGCTGCTCTTTAGTGATTAAAGCTGAAGGGGGGGGGGTTTAAGAAGTTTATTTTAAAAGAGGTCAGATTCTCTTATTCAAGCAAAGAACCTAATTCAAAAATTATAATTGAAGATGGAATCTATAGGTATAAAAATTTTGGTACTGGTTTGATTTCTATCACCTACACACTCATTGGAATAATTAATATCTTTGCAAATTATTTTGCTTTAATGACAACAATAAGGACTATCAATAATGTAATAGTTTGAGATTTCATGTTAATTTAAATTCTTTATGCAGCCTTCTGCATAAATCATAACTCCATTTCTAATCCAAGATATTGAACTTAAGATGACCCCTTCTAATACAGGTATCTCCTGTTTTTGGAAAGTTCTGGTTCACTGCCTTGTTTTTTATAAGAGACCTACATTAGTATCTGCTTTTGTTAACCTAAAGAAATCCAAAAAGCATTATTGCTTTTAGTATAAAAGAGCAAAAGAGAAAATGGGTCCTGGTAGCATGTATATTTTTTTAAAATAATAATCATCATGAACTTAATACAGTTTCATTCTGGAGGTTTTCATGTCTTGATTTTGCTTTAATCTTACAACATAAAAGATTTAATATAGCAATGTTTTAACATGAGCAATATCTATTATAATAGATATTTTAGAATTTTAAATATGAAAGCAGGCTTTTAATATTATCACATTAATTATATTATTTGGGGAAATATCCTTATTCCAGTCAAAATTGACATCTAATAAATACAATGGATTGTCCTTCATTTAAATTAAGGTGCAAGCCTTTAAACTTCTGTATCCTAAAATTGGTGCTAGAACCTCTTTGGTACTTAATATTTGACTATAGATATAGGTATTTTATATAATACTGGGTTACTGTGAGACTTAACTAAGTCATAGGTAATATTAACATTACATTCCAGTTCTCTGCCTTTTTGGAAGGTCTTTTCTGCATTTGAAGAAAAAAAAAAAGCCCATTGTGATTTGCAGTTCCAATTATAAGTTAATCCTCACATCTTAGAAAAGCTTGATTTTGTTTTTAATCTCTATTTTGCTGATAAGGAATGCTGAGAAAATTTAAGTGAGCTGAGATTGCTCACCCAGTCATAACCATAGCAGGAACTGGACTCATTGCTTTCATTTTTATTAAGTTTCCTGCCTGATAGATGTAGTTTTTGTCGGGACTTGAATGAAGTAGTCTATTTCTAATCTTGATATATTTTTTTGAATCATTTAATATAAAATTTTAAATATTTTTGAGATTAGGCAAGTTATTGATTTAAGTAGTGCCTAATCAAATTTATTACTCTACTAACAAGTGAGTGAGTTCTCTCCTTGCATGGGAAAAAAAGGAATGCATGTAAGTATCCCCTCCCCCAAAAAAGAAGCATCATTATTTATTTAAAAATAATTAACTTGTTAAAGTCATATAATTCAATAATACTAAATTTTCTGTCAATTTCCTACCATGAAATTCATAGCAAACATGAAATCTAGTGCTAGCATACAATCTTTTCACTTACTTGAACATTTCTTCCTTAAACTTCCATCTTTATTGATTTTAAATATTTTATGGTTTTTACTGTTGGTAGGTTGTTAATTGTTTAGCTTACTTTTGCTCAGAGTTGCTTATGCACAGCATTAATGATATATTACTATTGCATCTGCTTGTGTGCTGCTGATTTTATTTATTTATTTATTTTTGTTTTTGTAATGTTAGTCATTTGATTATCTTAGTCACCAAGAAATCTGATACATAAGATGTGTATAGTTTTAGGATTTACTGTTGCAAAATATCAGATAACATGAAAAAGATTAAAAGTTATTGGAAAGTAGTACAATTGACAGGCTTTAGAGGAGTGTTTAGAAAAAAATATATAGGTATTTGTTATGCAAATCTCTGAAAGTTTCTAAATAGTTTACAATATTCACAAGTTTGGTAACATGTTCATGCTTTGCTTGTCAAGATCAGTCTTTTGAGTAGAGACTATTCTGTGCTTTTTATCAGGTATGTCTGAGCTGATCTTGCATTTAACTTTTCCAATTTTAAGATTTAAATTTTTTTTTTTAAGATTTATTTATTTATTCATACAGAACTGGGGTACAGGCCAGAGGCTCAGGGACGGTGAGAGGCTTCACCAGAGACAGAGTGGGGAGCAGAACAGGCAGATTGACGAAGTACACTGCTGAGGGGAGCAGCGGGCGGGTCAGGAGAGGTCTGGCTCGCCATGTGGTCTCCTCCGGGGCAGGCAGCAGGCGGGAATCGAACTCATGCGGAAGTGGCTTCAGATTCTCAGTGCTGTGCTTTAACCCGCTGCGCCACCAGGAAGGGCCAAGATTTAAATTTTAATTTTTCAACTCCTGGCAAATATAATTCTCATTTCCCCCTTCTTGAATAAAACACTTTTTTTTCTTTTCTTTCTCCCCAAGAACAAAACTATTCCTCTATTGATCACCTCATATTCTCAATGAAGGTGTCGGTTTTAACCTGCACAACAATAGCAAAAATATAACACTAAGTCATTAAAATATAACAAGAAAAAATATTCTCTAAATTATAAATTCGAAGTGAAGTGGTACATGTCTCTGTGTAGGGCCTAAAACTATCTATCTTAGCCCAGTTGTTTCCTTAGGAAGAGATGGTTGAACTTTCTAACTAAATTGGGCTTAAGATTGATGAGGGAGGCGTAAGCAAGTTGGGAAACGTGATGTTGGTAAGCATATACACAATATACTATCAAAAGATGGAAGTTTGTGTCTACCCTACAATCACATTTTCCTAGCTTATAAAACTGAGGGTATTCTGGGTATCAAAGAATACATACAATTATATAAGAAGGAAGATAAAAGAACAAATAAGTGTTTGTTGAAGAGAAAATTAAAATATAATAGGAACAGCTGCATAGTTAAGACATACTGAATTTCAACTATGCGTCAGACAACTATGTAGCTTATTTATGCACCTGATTTTTCACCCTCACACAAACTTGTAAGATAGATATGGCTATCCTTACGGAGAAGATCTCTTGGTGAAAGAACCACACTTACTGAGGGACTTCATGTAGAACTAATTTCCTTTTTCCATGAACATAGAATATAGGCTTGAAACTCTGGACCACCCCGGTACTCCCCAAGGAATGAACATTAAGTTTTGGGGAGATAGCATGCTGGCAAAAAGTTTGCCACTTCCTTTTCCCTTTGCTTAAATAACATCTCTTCTGTGTGTTTTGGATCACAAACACACACACCAAACCAACCTTTTGTATCATTCAAAAGTGATTCGCCTAAGAAAACGAAAAACAAACCGACTAGGTTGTCTACTTAAACTTTTATCCATCGCGTTTTGAGGTTGTGTGTGTTTTCTGTGTGTGTTAGCAGGTGGGGGGGAGTTGTGTGTGAAGGTGGGAGAATTTATTGGAGGGAACACAGGGAAGATCCACTCTACAACTTTGAGTACATTTTTCCATGTGCCTCTTTTCATTGCTCGGGCACACTTCTGGGCTTATTACTATGAGGAGTGGCTCGGCGGCTCTGAAGTACCACACTCTTCAGCTGCTAAAGGAAGAAGAACGGGGGCGGGCGCTGTCTGGTGACTGTTCGCGTGATTCTTTCAAGGCGGCGACCACCTCCAGGGATTCGCTCTCCCGCACGCCGTTCGTACTCGGGTCCCACGACCGCTACACCGGGATGCCCAAACAGTGAGCTGCCAGACCCGGGCTCCAGGGACAGAAACACCGCGGGAGCCCTTTTCTGTCAAGCCGCGGGCTCCTGGTAGTCAGGAAACGCCTCAGGCCCGCTTCGGTGGGCCCGGCTACCTCGCGCACCTCCAGCCGCGGAGCCAAGAGTGCCCCACGCTCGCCCCTCCCGCGGCCCCCCACCCCCAAGCCAAACCCCATCAGCACCACCGCTTCTCCCGGAAACAAGCCTGCTGAGCAAAGGCGGGGGAAAACCTTGGGCCTTCCGCTCTGATTGGTCTCCCCCCGCCGCGCGGGGCGAGGCTGCGATTGGCTGCCGGGCGTTGTCAATCGCGGAGGCCAGAGCCGTCGCCGGGTGAGCGCAGCCGGGCTCGGGTGCTCCGGCTGCTGCCGCGGCTGCTCGAGCGGGTGCAGCTGGG